GGCTAGGCTGGTCTAATGGTGGTACCAGCTGGGCGGCATAATCCTCGTACATAGCACGAGAATCAGCGACTAATGCATGCTCCCCGGTAGTGACATCGATTGCTAGCAAGGCAACCGGGTCCGGCGGAGTGAGGAGAGACGTCGCCCCTCTCCTTGCGTAACTCAGTTTCCCGAGTTTGTTGGACGGGGTACGCGTGCCTTGCCCTTTTCGGGGCATTGTGCGGTCACATTGGTGACTCCGTTGCACCAAAGGCAGTATCTGTACTTCTGACGTAGGTCATAGACCTCCTTGGTGATCTTATATGCCGTCCATGGCTGCCCAGCTCCCGTCGCTGCCGTCTCTTGTGTCACCTTGTTCTTACGAACTCTCTTGGGACGCTTCGGCGGGAGCGCTGCGACAATTCCTCCATCACCCGAGGATGTTGCTGCAGCGTGGTGGTCATCGGTTTCCTCAGAAATCACGGCATTGTTATGTGCCGGACGTTGATAGGCCTGGTTAGCCACATAATGCGGCTGGGATTGTCTCTCGTTAGCGGCCTTGTCGTCCGTTTGGATGACCAAGTTCGCTCGATCCAGAATGCCCTGGAATGTGGTATAGTCGTACTCATTACCGAGTGCCGACCGCAATCCCGCGCATGATCGCGAGAAGAACTCGGATCGTTGATTTGGAAACGTCAAGTCGAAGCTTGGTGTGGTCACTATTTTTTGCCACTTCGTTGTCCAGTCTCGAGTTGGCATGTTCCCTTGAGAGCATGTGTACACCTCATTCATGGCCGCCTTCACGACGTTGCGGACCATGAACCGGGTGAACCATATCTGCTCGAACTCCTTCCACGTGATGTGCGTGTGGAGTTCGGTGATGGTGCACTTGTGGGTGGCCGCCAGGTGGTTCATCCATGCCTGCGCTCCTCCAATCAGTTGCAAATAGAGTGCCTTCAACATGTCGTTCGCCGGGACAGTGCGGCATGACGCTTCCGTGAGGAAACGTTGCCACCATGTCAAAGCGTCCGACTTGTTGTAGTCGTCGAACTTGCAGATGTCGAAGTGCGGCATCTTGAACRTMTTTGTAGCGGCGTCCAGTCTCGTCTGTAGCTTGGTGATGTCCGTCTTGATGGCGGCCACCGTGCTGCTGATCGTGTCCGGTCCGTTGAAAACACCTATGTCGCCGATGATGGTGACGACGTGATCGATGCGTTCGTTGATTTGCTTCGTCGCGTCCGTCGTGCAGCCTGGCGCTGCTGAGGCCTTGGCCTCAATGCCGTTGATACGTGCGATGGCAGAGTTCATCAGCTGTTGCAGTTGCTGCTGCTGCATTGCTGCGTTGCGGACGCCGGCCGTTACAGCGGCCAGGTCTTGCTGGTACTGCTGTTTTTGCTGTCGTTCCGCGTGCAGGTGTGCCTGCAGTAGTTTGTTGTTCCACATTACTCCCCTCATTACGTTCAACATCACGGTAGCCAGGTTACTTCTCTCTGCCTCCGCCTGTGTCGGCTCCGCCTGCGTTTCCGTAGGCACAAAGATCATGCCTTGGAGTACCGTTGTCCACTGATGCTCACTAGCAATCAGGGACTCCGTGCTGGCGCATGCCGTCTGTTTCGTGCCGCTTCGTCAGTCTCAGCTGTCCGCTAAGCTTCGGCTGCCGCCTTATTGGCCAGCCGCTGACGTTCTGCCTCTGCCGCAGCCTGCTGAGCCTCGGCGGCGGTTACGGCGTCTGTAAATGCCTGTAGCCGCCCACGATAGTCAGCCAAAGGCTCGCTGGCCTCTCGGACCGGGCATGTGGGAAGATCTCCGGTGGTGTCTTGTACTGTCAATGTCGTACTTGATGCCGCTGGAGTCGTCCGTGTGCTGAATCTCTTGGCTCTTGGAGGTACCGCATGGCGGGCACGAACTGCGATCCTGGCACTGCGCCGTGGCAGTGCCCCGGTGTCCTGTTCCATCTACAACAGTCTGAACTGATGCGGTACTTGAGAGGTGCCGGTGTCCACAGAATACAGGGGGATAGGGAGAGTGGGAACAGGGGTAGAACAATCAAGCAATATACCTACAATCCCCTGTCTCACTGATGGACTGTAGACACCTAATCAAACAGAAAAATAAATTTCCCGTAAATCACTCCAAAATTCGTAATAAGAATTTACTAACGATTTAATCAGTAAAATCAATTAATGATAAATAACGAAATAGTAATTCTTAATGAAATAACGAATTTGAATGGTGTTATGATTAAGTCTCTTTGAGATCACTTGAGTCCGGGAGTTCACCGTTAATGAGTGAACTACCGGGAAGTTGCAGTTTGAGGGTCAAATACGCTTAGTGTGCTAAAAAAAATTTTCGGAAAATTTCAGGAGAAAAAACGCTCGAATTTTCAAAAACGCGGATTTTCGGGAATTTCCACCGTCAAAATCCGATTTTTAAAAGCCTAAACCTGTTTTCGGAATTTCTCAAACAAGGGGAATGAAAAAAAAAATCGCGAAAATTTCGGTCCCAACCCTAATTTTCCGCGTTTCCGCACACCAAAAAGATTTTCGTAACCCTAATTCCAATACTGAAAGACAACGGAAATCTCAAAAGAAAACGAAATATAGGATTTACAACAGAATGCCAAAAAACGGAATGCTGAATGGAAATCAGAAAAGCCGAATTTCAAACATGATACTGATTCAACCCTAATTACGAATTACTAACCAGAAATCCGAATCAAACAGAATGTTGGATTAGTATCAATTTCTCGGATCTAATTAAACAGCGTACCGGCATAGGACAGAAATCCGAATAATAAGTCCGAATRCTGAATTGAAACGGAATGCCGAAATAACCAGAAGACCGAAAAAAAAGAAATTTTGCAACTTTAATCTCGGTAATAATTCAGCGCCGATTTAGAAGATCAATCAAAATGATCTAATTCTAAGCGGACTTACCTGGTGAGCAGATCCGTTATTGGTCTGCTCCGATACCAAAACTGTTACATACTTCAATGAGTATGGGCAGAACCAAAGATCAACCAATGTAGGATGAGCATATATGCAGCGGAAGTCTGATAAACGGACTGACTCACATAGACTGACTCACATAACATCACTCCACACACATACAATCGTGAGATGGTGGGGTCTGGGCCATTCATAGACGATGCCCAGATCCCGTACACGCATTCACAGATGAAAGGTGGGAGGAGAGACGAAGGAGGTGGGGAGGTAGACAACACCGAAGGTCACCGAGATAGAATCTGATAGGTCACCGATATGGTAGTAAAAAATGTCATCCAACAATATCAAAATATCGAGGACAATAGGTCACCAATGTCGGAGGTACAAAGTCCAAATGTAACGGGTGTCCGAACTGTGATGCAGCCGAGTATCAACCTCAACAATCTCCAAGTTTCCAATCAGGTAAGTACCACAGTCTCATATCACCGAAGTCCAACTCTGATCTCTGTCCAACTAGTATAAGTCTCTAGTCTGAAGAAGAAGAAGAAGAAGAAGAAGAAGAAGAAGGAGGAGGAGGAGGAGGAGGAGGAGAGAGAGAGAGAGAGAGAGAGAGAGAGAGAGAGCTGACGAGGGAGGGAGGAGAGGTCCTCCGCTCCCAGGTACCTCAGGCGGYAATGGCCGYCGTGCTGGCTCAGTCGCCCTGCTGCTGCTCCRCTTGCCGCTGCGCTAATGCTGCGCTGCCGCTGCTGCTCCTTGCTCGCTCCTGTGCTAAACTTAGCGCATCAAAACAGCGCTCTGGCGCTGACCATAACGCACCGGTAGAGTGCCGGTGGTTCGATGCCTCCAAGTGAGGCTGTACCGGTACTTATACCGATGGGGCAGAGGCCGGCCTCAATGCTGCGAGGCCTGGCCATGCCCTGAACCGTCCAGATGGTCGGTTCAGCCCCAACCGGAGGGCGGCAGCTTCAAGAGCGCCGCCAGGCCCAAACGATAATGCCGTTTGGGCCTGCCCCTCAGGTACTGGTCCAAGATCAGACCTTTAGGGCCTGTAATACCCCAAGGTCGGGCCTTTAGGCCCTGATGTGTCCTTCCGGCCCTAAGTCGGATCCGGTAGGACCCGTGTGCGTCGAAGATGTAACATCAGGCGATGACGTTTGCTCGTTCGTTGTAGTATAAATACACTTGGTTAACGCCAAACGAACCCGAACGTCGTCCGTTCCTAGGGCGCTGATCTCCAAGGTACGAAGCAAACGTCGGTCGACTAGAATGACTTCAACCAAGCGTGAAACCCACAACTCGATCCTAGTCCCTTTAACACATGTTCAAGCGAAAGTTACAACAACCACACATATAATTATATCAAAAGAAGTCGACCGTAGCCGACACGAATAAATATTCAATCTGAAATGATAGCTAAAAGAAATCGAATCATCATATGAAACATTCAATAATACAATATCAAAATAAACCCCGACCACCTCGGGTCGAGCTTCACAAAACAATCATACAACTGCCAACGAGGGGTTGTTTTTTCGACAATAACATAAATGCCGCCGACAAGGTAATCGACTGCCTTAGTTTTGACTTGAAATGGCGTGTTGCCAAAGTCATTTATTCCACCTACCGCCGACTCAAAATTCGACACGCTCACACATGTCTCCATACTTTCTCAATCTTATTGGATGACAGGCTACTTGATCAGGGGCATTGCTTGAAGTGTTGCATGCCTCTCCCTTTAGGGAGTGGTCCGGGATACTCCTCCTCCTCGCGCGAGCAGAAAACTCATATCTCAGAAGTCGGGCCGTCTCCACGGAATCGGCAAAGTACCCCCCCATAGAACGGTCCACTCTGGGTTGATAACAGGGTCGACTCCTGAAACAACGAACCCCCGCCCAGATGCTTTCTGGAGAGAAAATATGTGTGCACTACATGTAACTTTCAATTGTTCTCATTTTTTCTAAGTTCAGGGTAACTTAAGCAAAGGGAAATCAAAAGGGATAAAGAATGAGAATCATTTGGACAAATATAGGCAGATAAGGTCATTCGGAATAGAGGCCGTCAATCCTCGGGAAAAGTTAAATTCATTATGCTTTGATTCTCTTTCTGTTTTCAAAACTCTTTTTCTCACGGCACCCATCGATTATCCTTAAGAAATAGCAAGCAAGTTCGTCCAACTCACTCACGAAAGGAAAATGGTAAGGAGGCGAAAATTCTCTGTCATTTTATCAAATAGTATTTTGTCCCACTTTTATACATAGTCTTTTTACTCATCTGCACACCACGCAGACGACAAAATAAAAAGAAGACAAGCAAAGCCCCACTACTCGAGTCAGACTCATCTTTTCACTCATGCATGACGCCCACAACCCCACTCAACCTTTTCTCCTGAACATTCAAAGCAAAAGGGTCAAGCAATGTGTGGGTGCACACATGTGTGAAGGGAGTCCGAGTCGTCCACTGACCTTGAGTGGAGTGGTGCCGAAGAAGCGCACTGGTTCACTCAAGAAAGCCAACCAACAAGCCGTGTGTGCCGCCGAAAGCTGTAGTCTCAAGGAAAATCCCGATCAAACCACCTCTTACTCGCACGCCTCACCGGCGGTAACCCAAGCGTGAAAACGACGAGCCGCACGCTGTCGCGCCCCCACCGCTCCAAGCGTCCGGTGAGATGTCCTTCCCCGGGACCGAGCTCAGTGGGTTGGAGGACTGTCAGACTGTCACGCAAACATTTTGATAGGTATAAAAAATAAAGGTGTCTTCAGAGACAGTCACACTTTGTCATACAACCGAGTAGTCAGGGTTATCCCTCCTGCCAGCGGCGACACGGCTTAGAGTGAGGCGTTCGGGTTTATCGCCTGCATCTGACCCCGTATAAAGGATAGACCCAAGGTCATCGGAGTCCCTATCATCCAGGAGTCCTTCAAGCTGCCTTGAGTGTAACCTGTATAAAATAAGGAGGAAAAATAACGAACATGCATCATAGAGCAATTGACACTGACAAAATGAGAAGACCAGAAACCAGACTCTGCAAGAGTATAACCAGAGACACGAGACTGAAGAGTAGTACACAGAGTATGCAGGGAGCAGCCATTGGAGGGCTGCAGTCGCTAGTAAATAATAATGTCGTAATACATCAATAGTGACTGAAAAGTGAGAACCTCAATCAATGATAATAAGCGTTACCCCCTCGTGAGTGATTGCTGCCGTCTGGGACTCCTCGTCATTGAGAACTCGCGTGGCTATCGACTCTGAAACCACGTAGTTGATCTCGAGAGGCGTTGCTGGACCAATCTCACAGATATAGGCCATGCATCTGGCCATCTCATCGTCTGCGACACTCCTAAGATAAAACTCCTCCTCAAGAATGATATCGCCTAAAGCTCCAATCAATATCTCAATACGTCCTCTCCCACCAGAGTAGATGTAGGAAACCTCAAGAAAACGATCTCCGTAAAGAGACTTTCGATAAGCCTGCATAGCAAAGTCCGTTCCGACCAAATGACTATAACCATCTCCGAGGTATAGGACCGGACCCTCCCCTCTTGGGGGACCAATAACTGTCTCAAACCTAGGGTTGTCTGACATGTAGAAGTCAGTCTACCTCAAGAAGATATCGTGCAAAAAGATGTGCGATCCTCCTCAATGTCGCCCTTCGACGTCTCCGCTCGCTGGTC